CCCGGCCACCACTTTATTTTTTTAAGAAGATTTTAAGGACAAACTTTGATAGCTTGCTTAATTCTCCATCTGTCCTCTATCATCCCCCTGCAGGCATCTTGGCCATCCTCGTCCCCCGCCTGGACCTGGTCCTCTCCCTGGTGGGCTCCGTGAGCAGCAGCGCCCTGGCCCTCATCATCCCGCCCCTCCTGGAGATCTCCACTTACTACTCAGAGGGTATGAGCCCCCTCACCATCATCAAGGACGCCCTGATCAGCATCCTGGGCTTCGTGGGCTTCGTGGCGGGGACCTACCACGCCCTCCATGAACTGATGGAGTCAGGAGACTCTCTCCCCTTTTCTAACTCCACCACTTTTGTTCAGTGAGCATGGTACTGCTTCTTGCCCACCAGCACCCGACGTTCAATGATACAGATCTCTTTCACTCACATTATCTTTATGGTGCAGCTTTACTTTGCCTTTCTCTGGGCCAACTCATGGTGAAACAAGGAAGGACTCACCAGCTACAAAGTCTAATTGGTAATTTTAAATATATATATACATATTTTGGGTTATTCCTTTTTCTTTCCATTTCTAACTTTCCACTAATTTGAGAACTCGCCCATGGAAGCTCTGGAGTCTTGCCAACTTTTTGGTAATTCACATAGTGAATTTCACATCTAGAGTGGAACTATGCAAAAGGAAGCCACCAGGGGGCCCTAGGGGGCAGCAACTAGTGGAAGGAGGTGCAGCCAGCTGAGGCTGACCATGCTTTGGCAAAGGGTTTTCGCCTTTTCTGGATCTGTTCAAAAAGCAAATACTAGGAGTAGAGACATAATGCACAACCCAGCAAGAAGTGCACAGCTCCAGTTTCGAAATGGACAAGATGACCAATGAGAGCTGCAACTCTCAGATAGAAAGGAGACTTCCATATTTAAGTCAAGGGCAATAAACTTTCCAAACCACTGGATAAAGTTTTGGCCCAGATCAAAGATCCCAACACTGAATAGGAGGAATGGAAGTAGATGTGCCAGTTGGGGGTCGGGGGTGGACATAAATGTTATTTGAATAGACTTTACCTCTTAATTCCTGCAAAAAAAAATTCTTGATCACCTACTGTGTACCAAACATAGTGCAAGGTTCTTATAGAAGATAGCAAAAATTGCCATAAATTCCTCTTAATAATGTGATTTTGTGGCTTCTCCTATCAAGAGCTGAAGTCTATGTCTCTACCCCTTAAATCTGGTCTTGACCTTGTAATTTGCTTTGGCCAATGGGACGTGTAAATGTGATGCACGTAGAAGTTTAGTGATAGCTTGTGCATCAGAACTTGCATCTCCTGCTGCTCTGTGGAGCTGAGACCACCAAGTGAAGAAGGCTGGGCTAGCCTACTGGAGGATGAGAGACCGTGTGGAGCATACGTGAATCATCCCAGTTGAGCCCAGCCCCTCAGATCCACCAGCCTGCCAATTTCCACACACGTGAGTGAAGCCATCCTAGACTCTCTCCAACCCCAGTCATAGAAGCTGACTCAGACCATAGAATTGTACAGATGATCCACAGAACTGTGATAAATAATAAATGTTTGTGATTTTAATTCCTAAGGTGTGGGGGAATTTTATGCAGGGAAAGCTAACTGATACATCACTCTAAAGGGGGTACATTGATGAATGAGAAAAGAATCCCTACTCTTAAGCAGCCAGGCTACTGTCCACTGGGGAAGAGTAACAGGCAATCAACTAAGTAAATACCATCGTGGGTCCTTTTAAGGGCAAGTGGCACCGGATGCTCTGGAGGACCAAGAAAGACTTTCCACAGGTAATGCCATTTGAGCTGGGACTTGAGTAGAACTTGGGTCTCCCAACACTGAGTCGGGCCCTCCTTCCACTCTGCCTGCCACCTAGACATTCCGGTGCCTGTTCTTGTGTCTGACCTTGGCTGGCAGCCAGGGGCCAGTCAACCTGAGACATCACCTCAGCCTTACTGGTGGTGACTGCTCTCTCCCTCCCCCCACCCAAATTACTAAGATTGGGAGAAAGCACCTAGATAATTGAGCAGATGTTACAGTCCAAGGAGGTAGCGGGGAGAGGTTCCCATCAAACTCTCCGTAGTTTTGGGGAGTGATTCATGCTTGTTTTAGAACATTTGAAAAAGCCCTTTTCCACTTATTTTCATCCATCAACTTCCCTGTGCAGCATAAAGGAAAATGTAGAGGACAGCAGGGGAAGGGGTTGCCCCAATTCCCAAGTCTTGGTCTGCTCTTTTTGTGCGTTACTTTCTATATGCTGGACTTCCAGAAGGTACTTCATAAGCACAAATCCCACTCAAATGGGGGAAAGGCTGGCCTTCCACACCCAGAGCCCAGAGTCTACAGAGTCCCTGGGGGTAGATGAGACACTTGCAGCCTATGCAGCGGTCCACAATCCCCTTTGTCAGAAGGTGAGTCATCATTGCCACCCTGTGCTCTCTGTCTCATCAGCAGACCCAAAAGACCTCCACGGATTTATTCAGGGCTTTGGCAACATGGTCATCCTTTCTTGGAACGTTTCTCTCCCACCCTCCTCCGCCATCACCCACCCATCCTTGCTAAGTTTAAGGTCGTCTTCTTTGTTATTAAAGAAATGTTCACACTCATTCTCCAAGGACAAGCCC